AAAATATTACTAAGTGTAAGTCTGCTGCTAACGTCTTTACGCGTACTATAAATAGGTAGCCTACTACGTAGGTGGATGATTTAGTTTTCTGTCGTAGGCCTACTGATTTTATATTTTATGAAAATTTTAATGTAAAATCTAATTAAAATTAAAATTTTCATTCAATCAATGATGCTATTTTAAGTAGGCCAACCTGTAAGGAAATTTACCAGCGTCAACAATTAAACGAGAAAACTGACAGTGACAAGATCAAGACTTCTATAGTCTATAGCTAAAAAAAAAAAAAAAAAAAAAAAAAATATTTTAACATGTCTTTTAATTGTATTGATCAAAATCAAAAGACAGTAGATGATTTAGTCTTCTGTCGTACTGATTTTTTATTTTATATTTTGATTCAAATTTGAATGAAAATTTTAATGTCGTCTAATTAAAATTAATTTAAATTAGACTTTAAAACATTAAAATTTTCATTCAATCAATGCTGCTATTTTAAGAAGACCTACCTATAAGTAAACTTACCAGCATCAACAAGAATTAAACGAGAAAACTGACAGTGACAGGATCAAGACTTCTATAGCTTAAAAAAAAAAAAAAAAAAAAAAAAATATTGAAACATTGCATTGATCAAAATCAAACTAGCTACTAAGATAGGCACACATTACAAAACAATGACAACTGCTGATTGAAGCAGAAGACTGTACCATCCAGACGTTTTTATTTCTGTTTTACTGTAGACAGACATACACGTCATAAACTGGATGAATAGGACTACATCAACTTCTAACGGCTCCTGCATTTCGAATGAGACATGCTGGTTTACCGTTTGTCACCAACAGCCATTGCAAAAACGCAATAGGAACCGTTTTATAAAGTGGAGAAATGAATTTCCAACATCGTTTTGCGATTAAGTTAGATTAAGACGAATTCTACATTTGAAAACTTACATAATGCTCCACAATCTTCTTCTGTGGATACGTCCTTGAAAATCTCGCGAAGATACGTAGCGCGGCCACGCCCCCTGGATTTTGTCTCGAGAATTGAGGACTACCCCTCACTCACATATTAGCTTCGTAGCTATTTATTTATAAATATTTTAGAATATTTTTTTTTGCAGTTTGTAGAAAACATATTCGTCTTCACAAATCCGCGTGCGCGTGTAAAAATTTTCTTTTCTAAATCGGGCGCAAACGGTATAAATAATTTTAGGATTTCCTCTTTTTGATTGGACAGGAAATTTGGTCCTGCGATGCAGTATGACGGGCGGATGCGGTCACAATGGGCCATTTATATGACTTACTAATTCCATTTATATGACTTACTAATTCCATTTATAAAGCTTTATAATTAATTACTTACTTAGGCACGTGCGAACGCTGAAACCCCTCGAAGCGTGTGACTGAATTGAATATTATTTTCATAGCTTGATAAATGATTTATAAAGTCTTGTAAATAATATGGTAGCTATATAAATCTATTTTCTAAGTCTTATAAATGAATTATCTAACGAACTAAATATTCGGGAAAGTTCGTACATCTGCCCGGAAATTCCCGAGGATGCTTCGGCCAGCCAATCACAGGTCGTCTTACTGAATGGCAAGCCCCTCCCACTCTCGTCCGCGGTTTTCGAGTTGTGTGCGTCGGTGTCATAGGGCCTACATCATTTTATTCGTACATTTTTTCCTTTAATGGAATTCGGACGCACTAATCTTCCTGCAGAAGATGACCATGGTCAGGATGAGGGTATGTTGTCTTCAAGGGCTTGGGCCCACGCGTGCCGCACAACATCCGACACGATATTTCGGCAAACTCGCAAGAAATTGTGAAAAGAACTACCCCGGTCGGTGGGTGGAGGGGGAGCGGTGACCTTAGCAAAGTAAATTGACTCTAGGATAACTAAAACATGCATAAAACTTATTCTCGTCATTTTATGTTTACAATAGCCGCCATGAAAGGTAAAACACCGCTATATGTAACGAGGGATTTGATTGGCCAATTGGCCGACTCAACGAAGGAGTACGGAGATTGCCGAATATTTTCTAAGTTATATAAATGGATTTATAAGACTTGATAAATAATTACGTAGTTTCATAATTATTTATCAAACTATGAAAATAATATTCAATTCAGTCACCCATTTCGATGGGTTTCAGCGTCCACACATGCCTAAGTAAGTAATTAATTATAAAGCTTTATAAATGGAATTAGTAAGTCATATAAATGGAATTAGTAAGTCATATAAATGGCCCATTGTGACCGCATCCGCCCGTCATAGAGGCCATTTTACATGTTTTAAGTACCTATGATTCTAGCGATGTTTAGCTTCATCTTTGAATTCTTAATAACAAGTTGAATAACGAATAACAGGCGGTATTATAGTAAATACCATCATCATTAGGAAAACTAGTGAAAAATATGTTTACTACGTCATAGTCGGAATCTTCGTATCATGTAGTAACAAGTATAATACAGTATTCTCCGGAAATAAGCTTTTACTCGATATACAGTGTCAATATGACTATAGTTAGGGATTATTTTCATAAAATATTTCTGCATCCATTCCCATTATACACAATTCTCCAGCAATCAGAAGACCATTCTATGTATTCTATGATCATATTGTAGCATCACTGTATACCGTAAACAACAATTGTTGTTTCTCCAGAAAGTGTTGTTTCTCCAGAATCTGCCATTTCACCGAAAATTGTTGTTGTTACGATCGCTTTAAATGTCTATGTTGGGTCATATGTCGCTATATTTTATGGGTATATACTAGAAAATATTGTATGGCTATATTTTATGGGTATATACTAGAAAATATTGTTCTGCCCGACTGGGGAGGGGGGGGGCTGCCAGTACGCCAATGCTCGTAACACACTTCAGAGAAGAAAAGTAGGACGTTAAACCCAATTTTATTTCATTTCCAAGAGTTATTTATTACGGATCCCCCGATTTCTGTTCCTGTCACCATGCATCGGTATTAGAGCACGATACACCATCATTTGTGTAACTCTGCTGGTTCCCTACGAATTTACCGTTAATTTTCTTATTAGGTTCAGAATTTTGGTGCATCTGTATAGTGTATACGACCATGTTGATGTGATGTTAATGAATATTGGGTGGACTATTATATAGTTCTATGTTTAGTTTAATCAATTTAATAACATCATGGACTGGGCATCGTTTTCATGTAATCACAACAATGAATAAACTCTACTTAAAGTCCGTAACTCAATATCATCAAAAATCTTCGACATTGCAATTTAAATCGGCATTGGTGTTGTGGTCTTACCTGGAAAAGATGGGCTTCTGATATCCAATATTTAAGACAAAATAAACATTTTACCATGGGTACACGAATCGTGTACCATAATGCGTTTCAGCGCCATTTGTAACAAGGTGCTCAAAGTATGAGGCTAGACATATTCCAGAAGTCATGTCAAACGGTGAAGTCATATTCTTATTTGGAGAGCATGCGCAATAAATACTATCGGTGTTGACTGGAATAACCAGCCTCTAGAAACTGTCTTTCGGTTGAGATTTCTGGCGTATTTCGCCATAACTGATGCTAATTCACAGTAAAACGGGAACGATTGAATGTAAAACAGTTTATATAAATTCATATTACATTATTATATGTGTTGCGACCCATTTGTGCCAATTTCTAGGTCCTTTAATACGGAAGGAAAATCCAATGGCCACGGTGTATCAACTTTACTACACAGCTCTTCTCATGAAATAAAATGAAATGAAATGGGGTTTAGCGTCCCGCTGTTCTATTGGGCTAATGAAGCTGTGTATTCGCAATGCAGGGAATTTTAGCCCTGGCGGCAGGGCTACGGCCTATTTCGAATTCAAGATGTCAACGATTCTTTTACATGCACGCCAATGTGTACACGGGTTCTCGGTTTTTCGTCCCATCCTAACGACTTTTACTGAACATTACGGCGTAGTGATACATCAATTTTTGACAGCAATTCAACCATTGCAAAGTCCTTTATATTGACCCAGTGTTTCCATCAAGGTCAATTGAATAACAATAGTTCATTTTTAATAAAAAAAAAGTTACTTTTAATAAGAAATGAACTGTTCTTTGAAAATAAAAAAGAGTAGTTCCTTTTCAACTGACCAATCAAATTCATGTAAAGCGATATCTCCTAAGGAGATTATGAAACATATCACACAAGCGATATATACTGTAGAAGGTATTATTGGGTGATAAATCAGTTTATATACATTCATATTACAGTATTATATGCTTTGCGACCTAATTGTGTCATTTCTAGGTCCCAAATGTTAGCGATTTAGCTCCTTTAAGTTGAGAATACCTTTGATCGTTCTTTAAACCCCATATATGTCTTTTATCGTGGCTTTCTGTGTTCTATTATTATTATAGCTTTTAAAATGTTAGACTCTATATTCAACCTCGTGGCTTTTCTCCGGGTCCACCGGTTTCCTCCCACTGCTAAAGACCCCTATGCGCAAGCGAGTTATTGAAATAACAAATTAAAACCATGTTAGTCCCGAAAGGACCTAGTTTGTGTCGAGTGGACGTTAAACCCCATTTCTCTCTCTCTCCGGAGAAAACCCACGAGGATGGACAGGCAACCCTACTCCTTGTGACGTACAACCGGGGAATCGAAACCACACCAGTTAAGGGGGGGGGGGTTGGATGGTTAGCGTGCGCGCGCTGTATCATAAAGTCTGTCATTGAGTCGACTGGCGTGGTTTCGAATCCCCGGCTGTACGTGACAAGGAGTAGGGTCGCCTGTCTCACCTCGTGGGGTTTCTCCGGGTCCTCCGGTTTCCTCTCACTGCTAAGGACTCCTACGCGCAGGCGAATTATTGAAGTAGGGTTGAACCATGACAGACCTTATTATACAAGGCGCACGCGCTAACCATTCGGCCATCCAACCTGCCTCCAAAAAACAGAGCCATATGCCCGTTAAACCCAATATTTCCACAGCAAATAACAAGTTACAATTAATTGTATAGGCGCTTACCTCCAATAGCCAAAAGACGCATCTTGTAAAGACCGTATATAATGATGACTAAAGCTTCTCTACAACTATAATATTAAAACGCGCAGGCTACTTCGAAACGGATGTTTTAAGTACCATTCGAGGGTTGCGTGCAATTTGAAGTTATGCCCTTTTATGGCATTGTATTTATATTGAGCAGATGAAAGAAAGACACGCCCACTTGACGTCAAACAATGACTAGTTCAAGGAATCGAATAGGATATTAAACTTTAGTAGATATAATCTTTTTTACTCACTTAATATCCCACTACAACGTATCTCATATATTGTATAAGTATAATTCGTCCTGATTAACAGGAAACTTGCAACACGAGGTTCTTTATCGGTCAACATCGGGATCGAACACGGGACATCCAAGTTAGTAAGCCAGAGTCTTACTAACCGAGCCACCGCGGTTCCCCAGGTTATGAGCGATTCGCACTAGAGCGGAGAAAGAATGAATAAATGAAATGTTGTTTAATGACACGTCAGCTCCAACCGGGCTATATTGCGTCAACCATATGGTGATATTTCTCCAGACAAACTAGAAACTAATAATCACAATATTGTCTATATATACATAAATAAAAACAAATATCACAGAAAATATCAAATAAAATTAAATATAAACTTTATGTATATATATTTAAAACATGAAACATGCAATATAAACCCGGTTGGGCAAACTACTGATGTAATGATTGGCAACGGTAATACCGTAATCTTGTATCTTTGAGATGCTTGTACTCAATCAAAATGTGCTTAACTGTCAAAATAACATGACAGTGTTCATTCTGGTTGAAGTCCCATAAAACAAACCCGTCCCTTGTCTTGAACTTGGCGGGGGGTGGGGTGGGTCGGGTCTGTTATTGTACTGTTGGACAGGCGCCCCTACTCCTTGTCACGTACAACCGGGGAATCGAAATCACGCCAGTTGACTCAATGGCAGACAGCGGATGCACTAACCATTCTGCCACCCCACACCACCCCCTGCTAGTTACAGGTTAATAATCTGATCATACCGGAGCCGATGTGGATCAATGAGTAAGACGCTGGTTCGCTAACCAGGAGGTCTCGGATTCGCTCCCTGTGTTGGCTGAGAAAAATCATCTGTGATGCAGGACGAAGGGCGTGGCAAGGACATTGTCTAGTCGGTCCGATAGTACGTGTACATTTTAGCGTGCAGGGAAAAGAACTCTTGACAGTTAGTACGAACACTGTAAGACGTATGTCCGTCTTCATTAGCCCAGTCGGGAAATTAGGATGTCAACTCCTTTTCATTTCTAAGAATTATATTCTTATAATAAGTGAAATGGGGTTTAACGTCCTACTGTTCTGCGCCTGTACCGGGATAATGAAGACGGGGAATACACATGTAATATACCTGGAGAATCTATTCAGGTCGTCTTTCAATATGTGTGTGTTGGGGGTGAGTTGGTTAGCGCGTGCGCGTTGTATCATTAGGTCTGTCATTGACTTAACTGGCGTGGTTTCGAATCCCCGGTTGTACGTGACAAGGAGTAGGTTCGCCTGTCCAACCTCGTGGGTTTTCTTCGGGTCCTCCGATTTCCTGCCACTGCTAAAGATTCCTACGCACAAGCGAATTATTGAAATAAAATTAAACCATATGTTAGTCCCGAAATGACCTAGTTTGTGTGGAGTGGACGTTAAACCCCATTTCTCTGTCTCTCTATTCAATATTGTGTGATTGCTGGGTACATCTCATGACGGGTAAAGATTGCTAAGCGTCAATGAACATGTTCTCGTCTATATCAAATTTCCTGGAATTTTCGAGGCCGTATGTTTAGTGTTTATTGTGTGTTGCCAGGCTCAAATGCGTAATTAACCCTGTTTTGATTTGTACTGCGTCAGTCCAAAAATCGACTACTGACAACACGTATATTTCTCACGTGTTTCCATGAATAGTAACCACAATTAATATCTTCTACTCTTTTGAAGGATATTCTAACGCTGAGGTCAGTTAGTCAATTCTAGAAACTATGCATTTAGCAGTGCTTAAAGCCAAGAGCAACTTTTGTCATTTATATGTTTATATGTAAAATGTTTATTTTGTTTTGACATATATTTAGGCCTATATTTATATATATATATGTGTGTATTATAGGCCCGCATAAAATAAATGCTTTTAGCTTTAGTAAATAGTGTTGTTGTGAAGCGCGTTGTATCATGAGGTCTGTTATTGAGTCAACTGGCATGGTTTTGATTCCCCGGTTGTACGTGACAAGGAATAGGGTCGGCTGTCTAGCCTCGTGGGTTTCATCCCACTGCTAAATATCCATATATCTATATATCCATTTAATGTTTTAGCTAAAATCTTGAAAAATCTGAAGACATCTTATAGTATTCACATCCGGAAGGCCAATGTTCAGATCCGCCCCCTTTTCCATATAATGAGGGCTACGATATAGCTATTTAAAATCCTAAAACTACTAAGGTAACTGGCCTTTTCTGGCTTTCAAAAATATAGAAATCTTTTAAGCTTTCGGTGTTAATGTGTAGTGTTTAGCTAATTACATATTCCACAAGATAATAAGCAAATTAACTCACTAACTCTAATAATCTTTGTGGTTATTTTTGACTATTCATTAACTAGCTCAACACTGTCATATTTTTTTTTTTATCTAATTAAGTTAATTAATTAGCTAACTGGGTGAATAATTATTCTGATGGTTAATTAGCTACTTATAATTGACTATCTATTCGTCAACCCACCCCCAGCAATGTTTGTATCGTTCTTGTCTACCATATTGGTTATTAAATATTCATTCAACTTATTATATCAATTTGTGTATGTCTGGTCGTTTGGATGGGGCGAGAATCATAGGCGTACGGGCTGGGGGGCGACCGCCCCCCCCCCCATTTTGGGCACCAAATGCTGGGAAAATTTGGGCACACAATTGTACTTTGTAAAAGTTGTATAAAAAAATATTGTGTTCTTGAATGTGTCCAATTTAACAGCGAATTTAAATTCAGAGTGTCTATAGTTAGGCAATTAAATAGAAATCTTAAGACTCGAACCCTCTATTGTTTGGAGTACAGTAAGCCCTAAGTTACAGTTACATAAACAACTGTTTTTATTTGTGTATATTACAAGTAAATAAAATTTAGTTCTCTTTTATTGATGATTTAGAAATTAAGAACTTATTCATCGCAAAAGAGATATTATTATTATTATTATGTAACATACTAAGAACCTAACTACATTTTTGGGGCGGGGATCACGTGGCTAAGTGGGTAAGACGCTAGCTCGCTAGCCTGGAGGTCGGGTGTTCGATCCCTGCATTGGCCGAGAAAGTTCATCCAGATTTTCCGGCGTGGTTCTCCCTTGTCAGTGATGCAGGACGGAGGGGCTGACAAGGAAGGCTGTCTAGTCGTTCGGATGGGACGAAAAACCGAGGTCCCGTGTACACATTGGCGTGCACGTAAAAGATCCCTTGGCAGTTGGATTTCGATATAATATAAGAGTAGGCCGTAGTGCCTCTGTCCGGGCAAAATTTCCCTCATAGCACACTGTATGGCATATGCCTGTCTTCATTAGCCCAGGTTAGGAGCAGAACAGTAGGACGTTAAACTCCATTTCATTTCATTTCATTTCATTTCATTCACATTTTTGGGGCACCAACCACCACCGCCCCCCAGTCAATCCAGGTCTACCCATTGTTGTGCTTTGGTAGAGTGGTTCATTCTCAATTTTTTTAACAACAAACACACACTATTTCGGGATTATTTTAACATTATATGATAAGACATAAAAACTTCATTTATCAACAATGGAAGTCTGACAACATTTGATTTTTGAGGATATAACCATTTGCAAATATGTTATAAATGCCTCAAAATCTACCCGTCTTCCATAATCAAGGCAGATAACTCTTAGTGAGAATAAGAGTTATGTCACTTGGTCGCGGTAAAAATGGTACGGAAGCCCCTGAAACGAAATTTCATTATCGCAGTCGGAAAACATCGTTTATTTCCTTGCTGCGAAGTAACGGAATACACTCTATGAGACGATTGAATTTAACATGTGTACGCATGGGCAAACGCTTAGTTGTTTAACAATATATCCACGCCTTCACATGTCTTGATATTAACTGTTTATAATGCTACAGTGAAAATTAAAATACACGTTTAGCTGGATATGAAACGATCGACGTTTGACATGAATTGTTTAAAGATTAGCCAAACATATGTATTAAAAAGAACAGTGCTTTCATTTCTGTATACCCACAGACACCGGGTCTGTTTAAAATGGCATGTTATATACAGACGGAGCGAGAGAGAGAGAGACGTCTATAAATCTAATAATATAATCCCAAAGATAAATAAATATATTGGGCAGCATGATATTTGTTATGAAAAATAAATTGTCGGATAAAGTACGAGGAAAATATAATGGCATGTAATGCGGAGAGTGAGGGATAAAGACCTCTATAAATCTATTAATTTAACACTGTATTTTTTTGCCCACAGATAAATAACTATATAGTGCCGTATGATGTTTGTTATGAAAAAAGAAAACATTGTAGGATAAAGTATGGGGAAGATATTCTATAAGTATTACAAATAAAATAACGATCGAAATTCAGGGAGATTTGAATTCGCATTTGGTATAGTGGGGAGGGGTAAATGCAACATAAAAGATAATATATTAACAACAAATTCAAAATTAGGACCACGTTCTCTCGTGTGGTATGCTAGCATTTACACACGAATTTTTATGCTGTTATCTGTTCTATTTCGTACAAAGCGCTCAATAACATTTACCAAAACACATTTTATCGTGACCAACGCCCCCTGAATGAATATGTCTGTATGTTAGAGCTGCATTTGCTACCGAATGTTGTCTTTTGCAACATCATTAAATCATATACATGTACTTATACAGTTTAACCATATATCTGTCTGTTCAGATATTTTTTATAACAATCAATGTTATCATGTCAGCTATTGTTCACAATATTTCATGGAACAAAAGGATTTACAACAAACTAATAAATTAATAAATATGCACAGGTAAAATGAACCAGAAAACAACCGAAACTGTAAATAGAGGGTATTAAATGTCTGTCTGCTGGGACACCTGGAATGAAAAATAAAATGGACATAGAAATAAAAAAAATCAATTAACTGCATTTCATAACCGCTAAGAAAGAGGCATTGTAAACTTCTTCCGATTAAGTAGGGTGAGCCATACAAATATTTTTTTTCTAAATTTGCCTTTAAATTTGGAACAGAACGTTCCTTACCCGCCGAAGAAAAATAAAAAAGTGATTTATCAGAAACTGGCTGATTCATGACGTATCTACGAAATCGGGGCTGTGCTTTCAATGCCCCTTTTGTTTCCCCGAGTGACGAAAACTTTGAAAGCCCATAATCCATTCCTTCTTTATTTATCCAAAGTCCCATCCCGGCAATTTCTGCTGTTAGGCGCTCTTTTTTCCTAATCTCAAGTTGTCCCCTTTCTTTTAATTTATCCCTTTTCGCCAAAAGAACCTCTAACCGTTTTCTCTCAATCTCTTCGCGCCTTTGTCTAAATTTAGAAAGTTGGTTTTTCGTTATAATTCGAGCATCCATTATGACCAAATTACGTCTATCAGGAGAAAGAGTTTTAAGCCATTCGTTAGATTTATTCATTTTATATAATATAGATGCTTCCTTGCCAAAAGTATTAGACGAGGGCGCGATCCTCATTAATCTATCGAGATGACTGAACAGGGTTTCCGGCAATTTGTTGTGACGCATGGCAGAACCCGAACATGAAGGATTAAAGTCATCTCGATACTCAAGTAAAGAATGGATGAGGGTTGAATTAATATCGGAATTAAAATCTAATTTCTTTAAGTGATCAAGGACCGGATCGTTTTCAATTTTAATCAGAGATTCAAACGGGTGTGATTTACCTTCTGCAAAGTCATCTAAATTTGCTGTTTCAAAAAAATCATGTAATTTTTTATAAATATGTTTCATATCAAGAGCATTAATACCGCTTTCTAATATGCGCCACAGTGGAGCAGTTATTAGTTTATTTATGGCTACAGAATAATTAAATAAGATACTATGATTATGAAAGTAATTTACACCAAGTTACCGAAAAGTGTCTGGAAAATAAAGACTACCACTAAAAAATTTGTTTCGGTTATTTTCCGGTCTCAAATAGTTCTGCGTATTTAGAGCTAGCAAATATTTATTTCCTAAAGTAAATAGAGCGCCACGTAAACGAAGGTTGTAACGACCAACATGCTGTAATGAGTTTATCTTGCCACGCTTATGGATTAAAAAGTTAGAAATGAAACGAAGCTATTACAGCTAACTCTGTACCGAAATCGCCAAAATCAAAAATTAAACCAAAGAGTTGTAATTGAAATTTTTGCTCACGTTCGCTATTAAATAAACACGAAAGTCGAAGCGCGTAATGCGTGTATTTTTACTTGGCTTCATATACTAATACATGTTTGTATAATACCACGTGGAAAGCTATTTGTGACGTATATTTGCTGCGACCTCCAAAATCACGTTCGCGGGACTAAACATTGCTCACTTCAGAAAGGAGAACGCTAGATCGAGGACGGTCCTACGCATTTCTTTACCTTGGTGTAAGCGGCCCGTGCATTCGGAGTTCTTTTGTTTGACCGAGTGTTTGGTTTGATTTTCCCCGCGAAATTCAATCAGATCAGACGACCAGTAATCTTAAAATGTCGGACTCGGAGCCTAAAATGCCACTGAAAAGAAAGAGGTACGGTATATACTGTTATCGCTGAATAATCCAATTTCCTTGCTCAATTAATCGACCATAGTAACGTCTCACACGTCAGATTATCTCAACGCTTCAGATTTATTATATATGTTCTCGCAGCTAACGTCAACGAACTTCCAAGTTCTACCAGTAGGCTACCACCACCAGTGGTGCAGGGCCTGTGAATACATTAGCCTATAGGATAGGTTATTGCCGGCTTTTAATAACCGATTTTTAATTCATTGTCGACAAAATGGCGAAAATTTAACCGGTTCATGGTGTATCGGTAGCCTGCATATGAAATGAAATGAAATGAAATGAAATGGGGTTTAACGTCCTACTGTTCTGCTCCTATACTGGGCTAATGAAGACGGGCATACGCCATACAGTGTGCTATGAGGGAAATTTTGCCCGGGCAGCGGCACTATCGCCTACTCTTATATCGAATTCCAACTGCCAAGGGATCTTTGACGTGCATTCCAATGTTTACACGGGACCTCGGTTTTTCCGTCTCATCCGAAGGACTAGACAGCTGTCCTTGTCAGGCCCTCCGTCCTTCCTGCATCACTGACAAGGGGAAACCACGTCGGAAAATCGGGATGAACTTTCTCGGCCAAAGCAGGGATCGAACACCCGACCTCCAGGCTAGCGAGCCAGCGCCTTACCCATCTAGCCACCGTGGCTCCAGCCTGCATATGACTTTTATATTAATCACACTGTCACTATCATATAGGTATGTGACTAAAAAAATTAAATTTATGGAAATTTAATAAAACTGTCATCATTGGAAAGGGCATGGAATATGCATTACTGTGGTGTTTAAATTTTGGTTCTACTCCAAATAGCAAAAAGTTACATCATTTTGAAAATTGGAAAATCGGGTCATAGCCTATTGACCCCATGGAGGTGTCAATATGTACACCTCTCTGATTGACCCTTTGTTTGTTTTAATTAGAAAACAAAGACATGAGTGTGATCACTTTTCGTAGGAAAACAACAAAGTACGCACTTTAAAACATCTCAGTTCCCTCAAAAGTAAACAGATGTGGCGCGCTTTTAATTTCTGTCTTTGGCCACGAAATGGTGTGGGGAATCTGCCGCAATTGTTGCTCAGGCCCCACACCCCGGTAATTTCTCTGTCACCAGTGATCTATTGGCCGATCACAAGCCGTTTAAAGTAGAGCCTTTTCAGAGGAGAAGACGGACTAGCTAAAAAGTAGTTGTGCTATGTTCGGCTCTCTCTCTCTCTCTCTCTCTTCGAACAAACGGAACAAAACTGTATAAAACTATAAAGTTTTATTATGTATTATAACATACATGTAAGTTTTAATGGACTGGGAAAACTCTTTTATACTATTTTTAAAGAGGCGAACTGTCCCAGTTCAAGCCGTTCTGTGATCTTTTCTGTGTAATAGCTAAAAGCTATACTGTTCATTAACTGCAAGCAGTTAAAGGCTGTATCTTTGCATTAAACGCAAGCGTTAAAGTCTGTATCTGTTCATTAGATGTAAGCATCTAAAGGCTGTATCTGTTTTTAAACTGCAAGCAGTGTTCATTAGATGCAAGCATCTAAAGGCTGTGTGCTCAAAGAGAATTCCTCAAGAACTATAGGCGTAATTACTAGAGCTTCGCTTCGACCCTGGAGCTTCGCTTCGACCCTGGAGACGGATATCCCAGTGGGAACAACTGACCCAGGGTACTAGTGCGGGGTGTCACGTTCACCGTTGTACTTAAAGGTAAGGACATGATATTACAAAAAGATGCCACATAAGTACTTTGTAAATCACCCCCAGGGGATAGGGGAGTCCCTGTTGATGTGTCGTGACTCCTTAATTTAAAATAGGAGAATGCATGAGATAGTAACCTGTTATGGCCTCTCCATATTTCTATTTGCAATGTCAAGAACACTTGACTACAACTAATATTGATGTAAGACAACCAAGGCTCTTTGTGAATACCATAATACCCTTTTTTTCTAATATTTTCAGAAGAAATTCACGACATTTAAGTATATCATGGTACCAATCAACACTGGCAACCACTGGATCATTTTGGTAGCCAAACCAGAAACAAAAACAGTTTCAGTTTTAAATTCACTTTCTTTGAAGAGTGTAAATAAAGAGTATATGGAATATTGGAGGTTAGTTCGAATACACATGTAGTTCAAATATACTATTCAAAAAAAGTAGGGGATATTTGATTTTTAAGTGTTATTAAAGTCACCTAATGAAACTGACGAAGAAACAAATGACAAAATGAAATGAAGTTCACATTCATCGATTTATTCCAAATGATCGTTAGACTAAGTAAGGCACAGACTGACCATTATAAGGGTAAAATGATACCCGGGGTCAAACAGCAAAGTTACCACAGCATCACAACCAAGTCAGTAACGGGTAAATCCTCCTCTGTTTGCCAAACAAGCATTGATCCGACGTGGCATACTCCTAATGAGACGTCTAAGGTCATTTTGGTCCAGATTGTCCCATTCCTGTTGCAACGCAGCAGCAAGTTCTTGGACATTGGCAGGACGTTGTTGACGTTGACGTAACCTCTGTCCAAGCATGTCCCAGACATGCTCGATGGGGGAGAGGTCGGGACTCAGTGCTGGCCAAGGTAATGTGGTGATGTTCTGTTGTTGGAGGTAACCTGTAACGATCCTGGCCCTGTGACATCTTGCGTTGTCATCCTGGAAGATGAAACGGCGGCCATGACGTCGTGCGAACGGCACAACATGGACTGCCAAGATGTTGTCCCGGTAGTACTGGCCTGTAACACGCCCTGCAACAACATGTAAAGCCGTTCTTCCAGCAACAGTGATGCCTCCCCACACCATAACAGAACCACCCCCAAATCGATCATGTCTGATGACGTTAACGTCTTGGAAGCGCTCGTTTCGACGACGCCACACCCTCCTACGTCTGTCCAAAAAATCAACAGTGAACCTTGACTCATCTGAAAACATCACATTGCTCCAGCGTCGATTATCCCAGTGTTGACGATCCCTACACCAACGACGTCTTGCCTGAATGTGATGATCTCTCAAACAAGGGATCACGCGAGGACGTCGGGCGCGAAGGTGACCCCTATGCAGTCGATTCCGAATCGTCTGGCCACTCACTCTCACACCAGTGTCTGTTTGAAGACGAGCGCTGATCTGATTTGCTGTGATGACACGATTTCTCAAGGCCAAGGTACGGATAAATCGATCCTGGGCTTGAGTTGTCGCCCTTGGTCGACCTGAGCGTGGTCTGTCCTGTACAGATTGTGTATCACGGTATCTGGACCATAGCCTGCTTATGACAGACTGAGAAACATTCATCGTCCGCGCCACAACCGCCTGTGTTGTGCCGATCTGTAGCATGCCAAGGGCACGTAACCTTTCATTTTGGGTAAGCCGACGCATATCACAATTTGTTTTCTGGTCACTAAAACAATTAAACTGATGTTTCCACCCTGGAATTCAATGCCACAATGACTGTAACATTCAAAGTCAGAGTCGTGCAAATCTTGGGTTGGACCCCCATGATGATCCCAAGCATCACCTGCATTCCATGCGGTAGCTATTGGTGCGTTTGGGCGTCACATGTAACTGGAAATGTTTCTTCTGTTAGGTTCTATAGTGACTTTTTTCGTAGTCATTTGCATATTTTAGTATTATGCCCCCAAAATCAAATATCCCCTACTTTTTTTGAATAGTATACATACATTATGGCATCCAACTTTCTGAGGTACCTTAAACTCCCATTGCGTTATTTGCATTTTTATATAACTCACAGATTAATCCACCTGTAGAGATACACCTTTCACAATGTTGTCGTTTGCAAGAGATTATATGGTGCTAAAATCATGCGTAGTCTTTAAACATTGAATTTTCGCCGGACGCAGGCGTCGAAAATATACGCCCACATTTCAAAGTGAGCGTATACAAATGGTTTTATTATATCAGCACTCAACCAATATTTTTGTTGTTTTTGTCAATCCAGGAAATTCATGAAACTTAGGGGAGAGAAGATAGAGGAAAGTCTGATGGAATGGGAAGAGGAGAAAGTTGTGGTCTGTCATCAAGAAGATGGAGAAAGTTGTGGGGTTTTATACCTGATTTTCAGGTCTGATTTTTCGATGACATCCAGTTCATAGATATTCCGCTTTCATTCTCAAGTTAATATATTGAGTAAATTGTTACTATGACAGGGTATGTCATTCTACTAGTAACCAGTTGTATGTTCAGCTCTTGCTTTGGTCACCAAGCTTTTATAGACAATTGTCCACGCATATTTTTTCATTTCTCACATTGATAGCTGCATTTAAGGGTCCATTAAATATTACAAATGTGGTAATGGTATGCCAGGTTTTCCTTTCAAAGATAATGCTTCATAATTGTATTTTTCGTTTTCTTTCTATTTTCAGTACGCGGAGGCGTTAATGATGGGCGTTCATCCTATAATTATGAGACAGCAACATGTTCCAATGTAAAGAAAATATATTGCTGGGGCATTAGTATATGCTGCAACCATCACGTCAAACCTTTGCGACCTGTCGACTACATGTATCAATCCGAAAAACAAATGTATCCAATGGATAGAATGCGACAATTGTGGGAAGTGGCAGCATGTCAAATGTGCCGGAATCGAAATGAAAGATGTGCCGGACCAATTTTACTGTGGTGACTGTCATTAATTAATTGGATCAATGTGGGAGATAATTGAAAGGGTATGTCACTCTGTCCATCCACCACACTTTATTGGGCAGAATAACTCTGTTTCTAATTGAGCTGGAATATTCAAACCTCTGTACCCATCAGATGTTTCAATTGTTATACGATTTTAAAAACCAGTATATCATGGTACGCAAATAATGTAAAAGTATATATTAGGTCACAATTTTTGGGTAATTTTTTATGCAAAATATTTTGATATTCACGCATGTTGGATCGAAACAACCAAGATTATGGTCCCTGAATGTACCGAAAATCACGTTTTTAGCTTGTGGTCCATCTAGAGGTCACATTTTATCCCATTTTAAAAACCGTTGTAATTTAGCAGCTTGTGGTCCATCTAGATGTCACATTTTATCCCATTTTAAAAACCGTTGTAATTTAGCACTGTTACACTGTTGGTGTACCTACCTACCCCTTGTTCAATACTGTGTTTTTGTTTATTTGTATGTATTATTTAAAGTAGTGAAATTGTTAATTGTGGATTGTTTGTTAAATGGGGATTATTGTTCATTGTGGGTTATTGTTAAATGGGGATTAGTTTTGAAAAGTTCTTTTTATACGCCCATCTTGAAATGTGGTCGTATATTTTCATCACCCCCGTCATCAAGTGCTATCTGTTTTTACTGAAAATTCAAATATATGTTTATATCCCGATATCTTGGTTCCTTGTGGACGCTCTACATACTAAAGTAAATACTTGAAAATTATATCGAGTGTTTAAGGTCGTGAAATGAAGAATCCTATTTTGATTTTCACTGATTTCCGATAATTACTGCTATGGTTACGTTCCTTGATCACTTTGAAATATCTTGTGGACACTAGAAGCTAAAGTTGACTTAAAAATGTATACACAATGTTTTGGGTCATGAGATTAGTTTTTAAATATTTCCCATAATTACTGCCAGAGTTAACGCCCTTGATTACTTCGAAAAAGTTTGGCAAAAGTAATCATTCGATTGACTTTAGATTGATACACATCTGTTAAGGTCTTGAGATAAACAAGTACATGTATGTGGATTTTCAATGATTAAAGCTTATCATTGGGCAAAGCAAGAAGCCAAACAAATTCTAATAATTTTCTATTAATTACTTAATGAGTTGTTACTCTTAATCAGATTTTAGTGTATTATAAATGCTTCATTACCAACAACTGTAGCATAATGTTGGTGTATGGCAACCGCTTGTTTAATACTGTGTTTTTGTGCATTTATAAGCTTATGTGTTTTTAGTTAATTGTTAATTGGAGATTAGTTTTTATATGGGGATTATTGTTACATGGGAATATTTTTACATGTGGATTATTTTTAAACACGCACATTGAAATGTGGTCGTATATTGTTGTTGCCCCCGTCTGTCCGGCGTCCACACTCTAGAGGCTAAAGTTAATATCAGATTGACTTTAAATTTATACTGTTTAAGGTCACGAGACGAAGAATCAAATTAATTTTCACCAATTTCCGATAATTACTGCTAGAGTTATGGTCCTTGATCACTTTGAAATATCTTGTGGACAATAGAAGCTAAAGTTAACATCCGATTGACTTTAAACTTATACAGATTGTTTAAGGTCATGAGACAAAGAATCGTATTGATTTTCATTGATTTCGGTTAATTACTGCCAGAGTTATGGCTCTTGTGGAGTCAACGTTAATATCCAATTGGCTTTAATTTTATATACAGTGTTTACGCCCATATATAATCGTTTCGATTGACTTTAGATTGATACACAGAGTATACTGATTTTCAATAACAGCTTAATCTGTGGTATTAAATGTTTTGTATACTAAACGTTAGCATGGGCCAAACAAATTCTAATGATTTTCTGATAATATGCGACAACTCTTGTTGACTGCCCGGACGATTTAGCTGCTGAGGGCGTATGTTTCGTTGCCTGGCGACCTATCTGTAATTATGATAAATAAAGAATTCTTGAAGGGAAACAGTAAACTTGTTGCTTTTTATTTTATTTTATCATATAGACTAATATTGTTCAATTTTATTTCAATAATTTGCTTGTGGAGTGGAATAAACCTGGGGAGAGAGAGAGAGAGATGGGGTTTAACGTCCACTCGACACAAACTAGGTCATTTCGGGACTAACATCGTTTAATTTTATTTCAATAATTCGCTTGCGCGTAGGGAGGAAACCGGAGAAAACCCACGAGGTTGGACACACGATCCTACTCCTTGTCACAGACAACTGGGGATTCAAAACCACGCCAGTTGACTCAATGACAGGCACGTGCTAACCATTCGGCCATCCAGCCACCCATAAACCTGGGGAACCAGGAGAAAACCCACAAGGCATGACATTGACATCTATGGACATAATGTTATATTATCATTTTAATCAAAGCAGGCATGTGCACGTATAATGCAGTGTTAGCATTGCTCTTGTTACTTGAAGGACATAGGAGAAGAGATCATAATTGTGTAATGTTGTGTAAGGGTTGGTATCCTCATCACGATGCATTTAATGAAGCTTAAATTATCGGACAGTTATTTGTGTTACATGTATTTTCCTACATGATTAATGGAACATGTGAAGATTACATAACAGTACTTCTAGGTTATGCAACATCATTATTTTTATTATTACTAGTATCCCCAAAACCATCAGTAAATTAAAATCTTTAAAGGATATATTTATAAAAATTAAAACACTTATATGGATGTACTTATTAACATACACATACATGTATCGTTATGGAGCAAATAATGATATTTAACAAAAATGTGGTGCAATATATATAGATATATATAGATAAACACTTTGAAAGACATTCTGCAGATAAAATGAAATATAGTTTAACGTCCTACTGTTCGATCAGCAGATAAAACAATAACAAATTAATTAACAAGATGAAAGAAGTAATATATAGATAACAACTAGAAATGAAATGAAATGGGTTTAACGTCCTACTGTTCTGATCCGAACAGGGCTAATGGAGACGGGCATGCACCATACAGTGTGCTGTCTGGGAAATTTTATATCGAATTCCAACTGTCAAGGGATCTTTTACGTGCATGCCGCCAATTTGTACACAGACTCCGTCCTGTATCACCGACCAGGGGAACCACGCCGGAAAATCTGGATGAACTATCTTCGCGAACTAGCGTCTACAGTGAGCGTCACAACTAGAAACCATTTAGCAAATGAAACAATAACAACAATTAATTAACCAGATGAACGGTGTAATAAATTTATATGGAGATCCTTACAATAGTATATTTAAATGGATACTACTGATGGATAAAAATTTTGACGCGTCAAAGCCCGACAGCTCTTTGAAAAAAAAATGAAAAAATTGGACCCATATACATGTCAAAGTTATACACCTATCTGAGGATTTCTACCCACCTAACCAGATTTCAGAAACTTTAGGTTACATTGCAGTTTGATAAAATATTTTAAAATCTGTCAACTGTTTGTTATAGATTTACGGTACAGCAAATATTTTTGACAGGAATGTCACGTGGTCAGCGACCGATTATACTGTGGAGAGAGAGAGAGAGAGAGAAATGGGGTTTAACGTCCACTCGACACAAACTAGGTCATTTCGGGACTAACATATGGTTTAATTTTATTTACATAATTCGCTTGCGCGTAGGGGTCTTTAGCAGTGGGAGGAAACCGGAGGACCCGGAGAAAACCCACGAGGTTGGACAGGCATTATACTGTGGACTTGAATTAAAAATCTTATTTTCTAAGAACACACGGCTAATTATGTAGTGATTTTGAAAATATTTCAATACAATGTCAATAGGGGAGCAGGTCATATATCTAGTTACGTCTCACACACTACTAACAGCCCTAAAAACATCGAGGGGTAATTAGCGCAAAGTGGGCAATATGCGCTCCAGTTTGACGTGCGATCTGCGCAGTCTGATCTGATTGAATTTCGCGGGGAAAATCAAACAAACACTCGGTCAAACAAAAGAACTCCGAATGCACGGGCCGCTTACACCAAGGTAAAGAAATGCGTTGGACCGTCCTCGATCTAGCGTTCTCCCTTCAGAAAATATCCCCGATGATGCAGTCAGGCAGAGACCTGTGCATGTTTATATAAGGACAAATAAGTGACCATTGAACCACTCTAGCTCTGGATGGGATGAGAATCAAGGTTTAGGCCTACCCATTGGTGTGCATGTAAAAATACATCCACACCAATGTCCCCAATGACCGTAGTATATGGACCAGCAACTGAACATGACGTCATGGTCACCATCTTTAAATTGTGACGTCATATACAATTGCTCAAGGAACAAGCATGTCACGTTTAATTCTGATCGTACTTTGATTGGCGGTTCCTTGGGCTTTTTTGGAAGAGGATCGCCCGAGGAAGAAGACGAGTAGCGCCTGGGATCCAGTTCCTTGTGCCCAATTCGCCTCACCACGCTAACCAACGATCGCGCTCTGCCCACAAGCATATGGAAGGATAACGTTGCCAATATTATTTCATTGTTCACGGTGCAAACTGCAATTATTGTCAGTAGTTCAAAATACGTATTTTAGTTTTATGATTTGCAATTTCCATTGTTCAACAATACTAATGTCACGGTGTTAAAATACAGAATACACCTTTTTTCCGTATGCAAATGAGGTTGGTCGTAGACCCCATATAAGGTATATGTTCTACTATACAATGTTCTATTATGCATTTGTCTATTATGCAAAATGCATAATGCAGAAGTGTAATGTGCAAAATAACTATTATACTGTATTTTGTATTTTTGAAAAGTGTATTTAGCTATTTCCCCCATTTATTTGGAGGCAAGTTTTTATTATTTTTATTCATTTCTTATTTTCCTAAATAATAGCCAATGATTAGGAGTATTTGTTTTCTTGGCGCGTTTGTGTGCTCTATTTCGTTTTCGAATTTTTATTCGTATGGCGTTATTCATAAATGGCTTATCATTAGGTCTTATAGTCACTACTTTTGTTGGGATATACTGCATTAATGCTTTATTTAAAACATCTAAGAAACTTTCATAAATTTTGTTAATATTATCATTTTTAAAAACATTTTTGGGCGAATCAGCAGTTAATAATTCATTATTTAAACCTTCATAATCAGCAAGTTTATAATTCCTAATAGTTCTTTTGTATGTTAATTGTTTGTATGTTTTTATATTTAAAGTAGCTAAGTCCGTAACTCAATATCATCCAAAATCTTCGACATTCAAAACACATTTTTTTTTCAATTTAAATCGGCATTGGTGTTGTGGTCTTAACTGGAAAAGATGAGCTTCTGATATCCAATATTTAAGACAAAATAAACATTTTACCATTGGTACACGTATCGTGTACCATAATGGGTTTCAGTGCCATTTGTAACAAGGTGCTCAAAGAATGAGGCTAGACTTATTCCACATGTTATGTTAAACGTGATGTCATATTCTTATTTGGAGAGCATGCGCTATATATACTATCGGTGTTGACTAGAATAACCAGACGCTAGAAACTGACTTTCGGTTGAGACTTCTGGCGTATTTCGGCGAACATAACTGGTGACAATTCACAGTAAAACGGAAAGGATTGAATGTAAAACAGTTTATATAAATTCCTATTACATTATTAGATGTGTTTCAACCCATTTATGCCAATTTCTGGGTCCAAAATATTAGCGATTTTGCTCCTTTTTAGATAACTGAACTTGCAAATTTATTCTCTGATTTCTTTCAAATAAAAATACAGAAAAAACGAACTGAACTTGATGATTGAAATAAAACTATTGACTTTAACGCTCATGATTTTGATAAGTTAGAAAATTCTGTTTATTTAGAAAATTTTAACTTGGTTAGTGAATCTTTTGTTTTAAAGCTAATTAAATCGTCTGCTCCTAAATCTTGTTCATTAGATCCTGTTCCGACTTCTGTTCTTAAGGACTGTCTAGACGAAGTTATTCAAGTTTTTAGCAATATTATTAATTCTTGTATATCATCCGCTACTATTCCCAACGTTTTCAAACGAGCTTATGTTACCCCTTTAATTAAAAAGTCTACACTGGATCCTAATGTTTTTAAAAATTACAGGCCAGTCTCTAACTTAAGTTTTATTTCTAAAATATCGGAGAAATGTATTGCTTCTCAGATAAAGGCCCATCTAGATGATAACTGTTTGTATGAACCATTTCAAAGTGCTTATAAACAATTTCACAGTACCGAAACCCGGGTTTCAAATGATATTTTAATGGAAATTGATAATAGAAAATGTACATTTTTAATTTTATTAGAGTTATCTGCTGCTTTCGATACGGTGAACCCTTCCATTCTTCTACGTAGACTTCAATTTAAATTCGGTATTTGTGGCTCTGCATTAAATCTTTTAGAGAGCTATCTTGTGGGTAGAAAACAGTGTATTTTAGTTAATTGCAAATCGTCGTCTGAATCTGTTTTGTCATCTGGGGTTCCCCAAGGTTCTGTTCTTGGTCCGATTTTATTTACCCTCTATACGTCACCATTAGGAGATATTGTCAGCAAATATGGTCTCAGCTTTCATTTGTATGCCGATGATACTCAATTATATATTTCATTTACACCTAATTGTCCATCTTCTTTCAATTTATCAAAATTGCAACTTGAGAACTGTATGAGTGAAATTAGAAAATGGATGTCAAAGAACTTTCTAAAATTGAATGATGATAAAACCGAACATTTGTTATTAGGCTCAAGGCATCAATTAAGTAAATCTGCACAAGATAACCCCCCTGTTGTAATTGGTAATTGTGATATATTTTCATCTTATTCTGCTCGTAATATTGGCGCCATCTTTGATAGTTTTATGCTTATGGGAGCTCAAGTAAATAATATTTGTAAATTGTGCTATTTTAATATTAGAAATATAGGTAAAATACGTAAATGTGTAACTGTAGAGGCCACTAAGCCACTTGTTAATTCTCTGGTCACTTCTCGATTAGATAACTTTAATT